GGAGATTTATCAAGAAGGCCAGCTGGCTGTCTCACATTGGGAGTATCAAGATGGCACTCATTTCCTTGAAGGATTTCTTAGCCTAACCCTAACCCCACCCCAAGCCTTAATTATAATGATGCACATATTGGGCTGCCTTAGCCAGTACCACTGAGTACTTCAAAGGTCTAATCCCAAACCTCTTGCTCTGATTTCATTCTTATTGAGCAAATTTATGCTATGGTTTGCCTTTCCTTGAAGATCTATCTTCAGTAAGAGAAAGTGTTAGTCATACAGGCTTGGCAAACTTCAGATCACCTGACAATTTCATTGGATAAATTTAAAACCTGGCATTCTGACTTTATACTTCAATATGATGATAGATAGTTCCACTCTTAATACACAGACAAATGTAAGCCTTCTGTGCATTATCTGATTTTTCTGTCATGAGCATTTCGAAGGAAGAGATCCAATGAAAACAAATTTCATATTGAAGGAAAACAGAGGGAGGAGTAAATAGTTGTCTAAAAAACGATATAGAAGTAAATGAAAGCCGAAACAAAAGTCCATGGGAAGAGACTGCAACTTCAGAACCCTAAAGAATGTTGTGCCTTTTTATTTTTGCCAAATTTAAAATAGGACTGTAATTGTGTACAGACTATGAAGTAAATGCAATTTGGCAAAACTAAATTAGGATTATTGATGGTGGGATTAAAATACCAAACCTGAATACATGCCAGAAACTATATACCAAATTTTTATATTTCTAAATATATGCATACTGAGAATTGCTAAATCATAATAGAATGAGTCTGTTTTCACTATAGCATTATATACAATATACATTATAATACAGTGAATTATGACACATTAGACTAGAATAGAATTCAGTCATCCAAACTACATAAGGTGGAGATTATTATATGGCAAAGGAAAAAACCATGGCTTCAATTAGATGTTCAGTGAGGAAAATAGCAAGGTTTTATAAAGTATGTGCATTATTTTACCGACTGAAAAATGGAAAGACTGGAAAATCTCAAGAATGGATTAGAAACAGTGGTGTGATTATATCTGATTTTTATTTTATTCTTTATACTTTCCTGTGATTTTTCAAATTTTCTGTAATGATCTTAGAGTTTTTATGGAAATGTAAATTGCTTTCATAGAGAAGCATACTTCCATTAGCAATTCCGTTTTTCAATTATTTTTGTTAGTTATACTGGAATTAAAAACTCATTAGATACATTAAATGTAGCATTTTTAAATGCTCAGGGTATATATGCTCCCGACTGCTTTTAAAATGAAGTTGTAATTAGATGGAATAAGAGAATTGAGACTAGAAAGGCTCTCTGAGGGTAATGGCAGAGACACGAAATGCCCCACTTCAAATATTGTGAAATACTATATAAATGGTAATCTTGTAGACATATTGTATAGAATGCAATACATATAAATTAAAATTTGACTTTGGATCTGCTAATAGATTTTTTAGTACAAATAGAATAACTTCCTAAAATTCAAATCAAGCTAAAAGTTTATTTTTACATTATATGAAAATGAAATGATAAGCAAACTAACATTGAAAATAAGATTGCAGAGGAAAGAGTCCACCTGCTTAGGAGAAAACACTATTTTTTAATAGTGGAACCATCCATTATATACTTTCAACATATGTATTAATTTACAATTAATTCTCTAAATACAGTTCTAAGCTCCATTTGGCAATACAGAAGAAATGGAGTATTTCTTCCTGTCTGATGGATTTGACTTTCTCTATGAAGACTGAGGCAAGTTGATCTGAGAGTCAGGTAGCAGAGTGAAGTTCAAGGATCAAGTAGATTTTGCAGAGAATAGCAAAGCATGTCCATGAGAAGAAAAGGAGATGTGGTTGTCATGACTTAAAGGTTGAGGCCCAGACTGGATTGGGATGATCTATGTAGACAGTAATATTAATTGAGTGATCCCATTGAACAAATTGGACTCTTAGGGAGCAAAGAGAGAACAACTTATTCTTTATCTCCAACTGACCTTTTGGGTTTTTTGTCTTGTTTTGTTTTTACAGTGCTGGAGACTGAAGCCAGGACCTCAGGCGTGTTAAACAAACACTATACCTCTAAGATACATTCCCTCAACCTGCCATTTGAATCCTCTTTTAGCCCTTTCCTCCCCTTTAAATACTTGAAAGGTCTTCTGACTCTCTGATCATCTCAGACTCTAAAATGTCTCTGGTCACTTGAGCCCCATACTACAGCCTTCTGATAGTTAACTGTGGTGTCAGCTTGAATAAGAAATGCCTACCTGACTCATTTAGCACAGTTCCAGGTGTATCTGGATGACTGTCTTACAAAAGAGCAAAGACTCATCCTGGGTGTGAGTGGCACCAACCAGCAGACTTGTAGCCTGGATGGAAGAAAAGGGAAAGAAGAAACAAGTCTTGTTTCTGCTTCCTCGGAGGAGCTCATCTTCGCCAACACCTTTTCCCGTTCAGACACTTCAGCTCCCTGATAGGGGTTCACACAGGACCCTGCAGTGCACTCCAGGCATTTGGCTTTTGACTGGATCCTCCAGCTCTCCAGCCTGCAGATGGCCTTTATGCATTCTTCCATACTTGACTCTGCAGGCAGTCATTGTCCGCCTACATTGTGAATCCTTTATACATCATACATATATATTTCATATTAAATCTATTCCTCTAGCAAACACTGATACAGATTTATAAATTAATATGCCCAGAACTATTATGTTAAAACTCCAGACTTCATTGCAAGCATGGGTATTCTTTAGGCTGATGGGGCTACATTGAAGGATGAGATGTTCATCTCAATCTCCCCATTAGTGCCCCTTCCCTGACCCCAACTCTGACCCTCTAGCACCTAACTCGTCCTCCAGGATGGAACCAGAAGCTGTAGGAAAGAAAGGGCAGGGAAAGTCATACTTGACTGACACAGGGATAGGCTGTTACAGCTGCCCTTTGAGGGTAAAGGCTGACTATGTTCTCTCACTCAAAGTCTCCACCTTCTACAGACGCTCCACTGCTGGACCATTCCAAATGCCATTCCTTTGCTCCTGGCAGTGCCTCTCTTTAATCAGCTCCTCCTCTGTTTCTCTATCCACTGATGCCTTCAACACCTTTTGTCAACACTTCACTCTTTATAGGAAGTCTTCTGGGTAAAGTTTCCTTTGAAAACAGCACAGACTCACATTGCTCCAGTGGGTTTTATATTTAGCCTCTGAAAAAGTGCAGCTTTGGCCTAGTATAGGGCAAGCATAGGTCCCTCCTGACCGCAGCTCTCTGCTGGGCTGACATGGTCTACTTCAACAACCACTCACTCAGACTTTCCTCCAGGAATGAGACAGATGCCTGCCTGCGCCCCCTCCAAGCTTCAAAAGATAACTATCAAGCTCTCCTTGAAGCTCCCCTAAGAGAGTCTGACAAAAGAATTCATGGCTAGAGTGAAGAAACACAAAAACTGTTTACATCACATCTTTAGATGTCACTGATAGGTGGACTAATGTGTTGCCCTGGAATGTCACAGTAGTTGGCATCCTTGGTCTTCAGGCCTTGGTTATCTGGAACAAAGAGTCCTATTTTATCTTCCCTATGAGCAATTTTTCCAGTACTGCTCAGCCTCCCCGTACAAGACAGAAAAAATGGTTGGGTTCAAGTTAGGCAAATAGGAATGACAGAAAATGGAGCAGCAAGGGACTTTGGGGTCTAATGAGAATAAGTGAATTGATCTACCATAGAATGAAAGCTGAAGAAGGAAATTAAGGAGATCAATGGACTAAATGGGTCAGGAGGTTTGAGAATGTAGAAGGGATGGTTGAGTAAACATTCTGGAAAGATACTTTTAGCAGTGGATTGGCTAAAGGGATAGGAGATTAAAATGTGGTTGAAAAGTCTTTGGGATCTGGAACTTTATGGACTGGCCAATGATTATGAAATCATTGACATATTTAGAGTACTGGAGGAAATCTTGATTTTAGAGCATAATGGTGAACTTCATTTTGAATAAGCAGAGCTTGAGAGGTGAGTGAGAAATCTAAGTGGAAACATCACTGGAGGTCTGAAGCTCAGAAAAAAAGGATTCAAGATGAATCTCCCAGAGCTGTGACCTGAGATATTATTAGGCGTTATAGGGCTCAATGATTTCTTAAAAGAAACAAGTGGAGGTGAGGACCACCTGGGAAATGCATCTTGTTTGTACAGGAAAGAGAATAAAGGGAACCTAACGGAGAAGAAAGAGAGTTCTCTGCCTTCCAAGAGAAAGAGCTGCATCTCAGGGTCAAGCTAGTCTGTTCTGAAGTGTGTTATCCAAAGATACCTACTCTTCCTTCCTAGTTACTTTTTTAAAAATTAATTTTGTTGGAACACTTTTTTTTTTTACCTCTTTAAATATATTTAATTTTTATTTGTCAAATATACCTCAATAGGCTGATAACTTGTTCTTTGTATGAGACTTATATAATCAAATCTATCAAGGGAGTATATAGGCTGACCAAACAAGAACTGTATCATTTAGTATAAAAATCTTACAGAAAAGTTTTTAATGACGTCACTAATGATAAGGTTGCATTAGTATCCAGAAAAATACCCTCAAATACTTTAGAAATCATGTAATTTCTCTAATATTAATTTCCCTAATATAATTTCCTTTAACAGTCATGTTAAATTTTAAACATTAAGTAACATTTTAGCACAAACCATGTTGTTGTTAGTTTCTTAATGATTTTATGCTGACTTGTCTACTGATAATAACTAATAAAATACAACAAGTATGATGGTACAATCATGGACTAAAATATTAGAAGTCTCCATATTTTAGGTTTATCACTAAATCATGGAGTTAGGTTTTTTTAATATGTAAGTTCTGAAAATGTATAACAAACACAATAGCGGTCTGACGGTGACTTTCCAGTTCTCCCAACATTTCTACAATGCGTCCCTGATGATAACCCTATCAATGCACTGGGAATAGCAGACAAAGAGGTCTCCCTGAAACAATTAAAGTTAGTGAGGAGGGGCCTCACTTTAATATGAATTGAGTCATAATTAGAAATTAATCATGGAAGGGTATGTCTACCACAGACATCTTTCCTCACAGTTAAATGATCTCATTTCTTCCCCATCTCTAGTTCTTAGATCCCCCAAACCATTTATTTTTCCTTCTTTTTTCTTCTACTTGATCCATTGGTAAAACCTAAGAGACTGTGCTTCAGGAAACTATCTTTTCTGTAGAAGAAAAATCAAAAGATTATCAAGAATGAAAATTTGCTAAATTTAAGATTTAATGCTCTAAAATATGTGATTAATCACTGGTTGCCCAAAAACATTCTTTGTTTCTTTTCCATGATGATGATGATTCTTCATATATTTCCTAAAAAACAGAACCAATAACAGGTATTCAAGAGAGACAATTTTTTTTTTTTTTTTTGGTACCGGGGATCGAACTCCGGACCTTGCTCTTGCAGGGCAGGCAGCGAAACCACTGAGCTAAATCCCCAGCCCAAGAGAGACAATTTTAATAAATGAAAATACACTGAATAAATCAGAAAATTAATTTTACATCTATTTCAGTCCACTCATTTCAATAATCCAGTCAGTACCAACAACTGTAATAGGTACTGAGAGCAAAAAAATGAATACATATGTTCTCTACACATAAGGACTCCAACTTCAATTGAGGAAATGACCAGATGCTATTTATTATAAGACAAGGAACAACTACAGAAAAAGAAAAAAAGAACTTCATTTGGGCCAGAACAAGAGACAGCAGGATTAAGTAATACAGAGGTAGATAAAAAGTCACTAAACATACTCTTCTTTCCAAACATACCTTTGGTTCTACTTTGACAGTACTAAATATGCTTTTCCAAAGGCAGTCAGGATATTTTCATTAGCAGTGAAATTAAGTGACCACCCACAGGTGTTCTTGAACACGCCTGGCTGCACTCTGCTGTGAGCTGCTCCCCGAGGCATGTTCCGGTTTACCTGCCCACACCATCCCTCTATCTCAGATGATCTCCAAGCACAGCTGGCAAAGTAGCTGTGAAGAACTAGAATTTAGAGAATTGCAGAAAAGAGGGAAAAGAAGAACATATCGCTTTCTCTTCCTATGCTAGCCAGATTCCACTTCTATAGGGAGAGGAATCTAAATATAACTGTTCTTTTTTAATTCCAGGCTTTCTTTTTGATATTTTTGTAACAAGTTCAATCCCTTTGTTAAATTTCTCTGATTGCTTTTGAGTTCTCTGGAGTTTGCTGCCTTTTCTCAAAACAACCACTTAGCATTTTTGAGGCCTGCCAGGCCTGCCATCTGCACCTAATGAGAATAAGTCACTGGTCCCTTGTTTGCTCCATTGCATGAGATCCTGGCTCTGTTCTCTCTTGACGCTAGGGACGCACATCTCTGAACACCTGCACCTCTCCCGCTTCCCTTTTTCCATATGGGCACTTTGGCTTTTAGAGTGTCAATGGCATAACTCACATCTGCTAGAGACGCAGCCCTGTGGGCTGAGGACACAGCAATAATTATGCTTGCTTCTGACACTGGAACCAAGCCAAGTCTATGGAACACTGCTATGTGTTTTACCGGCCATTTCTGCCTAATGTCACTACAAATTTTTCTGATTTCATTTTCCGCCATTGGTATATATGCTTCATATTCTAAACTAATGACTTTTTCCCTTCAGAGTTATTTCTTGTAGTCCCTACAAATAAGGACACTGCACCACACACTGGAGAAATCACCAACTGTGAGACTTCATCTACTAAAAGTTTCTCGGCAGTGCATTTTATTATGTCTTTAGATTTCTCTTCAGCTTCATCCATATTTTTCCTACACGGCTGAAAAGCATTATCCTCCACTAATTGGGGGGATAATGGCAATTTCGTCTCCTGGTTGCAGCTGGAGGAGCCGATCTCCCAGCTCGACATACTCTTGACGAACAGCAAATACCACCTGATTTTTAATATCAGCCAATCCAGGATGTCAAGTTTCTATCTCTTTCCAAAGCTGCAACGCTTTTATTTCCTGTGCCACAGAAATGGTCTCTGAACGAACTCCCGCTATTTCAGCACTTTTTGCAAAATACAGTACTTCAACCTGGCAGCTGGGTACCACGCCGCCCGCGACCCCAAGGCCGAACTACAACAGAGGCGGAGTCCTGTTGGAACACTTTTGACATACATAATGACCACATTCAAAATATGGAATTTGTACCTGTACATAAAATATCTTCTTTTCCCCCCATTCCCCTGTGTTCTCTTCAGTCCATCTTTCCCTCTTCCTTTACAAAACTTTGTTTCTATTTTTTTCTTTCCATCTTTTTTATTTTTAATCCCTATTTTCTCCCTTCCTCCCTCACTCCCCCTCCTTTGTTCCTTCCCCTTCTCATTCGAAAATTTTCTTTCTACTTCCCAATATCTATCATCCATGTTAGTCCTTATTTTCACTTTTGGTTTCTCACACAAGAGAAACAATGTGATATCTAAACATGTGTGTTCAATGTATTTCATTTAAAAATATGGTCTTAAGGTGCATTTTTACCTAAAAATGTCTCTAGTTGATCCTTTATAGCAGAGTAGTAGTACACTGTGTATAAAAAAATTACATTTTCGTTATCCATTCATCTATTGATGGGCATCTGGGCCATTTCCAAGACTTAGCTATTAGAAATTGTGCTGCTATAAACATGGGTATGCATACATGGCTTTGGTATGATGTTTTTAACTCTTTCAGGAAAATACCACGAAGGGGAATAGCTGGGTCAAATGGAATCTCTAGTTTCAGTTTTTTGAGGAAATTCCATACTGATTTCCATATTGGTTGTACCAATTTACACTCTCACTAGCAGTGAAGAAGAGTTTCTTTTTTCTTACAGCCTTGCTAGCATTTGTTATTAGCTGACTTCTTGATGACAGCCATTCTTTCTGGAATAAGATGGAATCTCAGTGTTGTTTTAATCTACACCTCTTGAATAACCAGTGATGTTGAATATTTTTGCATATATTTATTTGTTGTTTGTACTTCTTCATCTGCAAAATGTCTATTCATTTCAGATGCCCTTTTTTTGGATTGCAGCTTTAAATTTGGGAGGTCTGTTTTTTTGAGTTCTTTATATATTCTAGATATTAGTCCTTTGTCTGAGGAATAGCTGGTAAAAATGTTTTCCCATTCTGTGAATTGTCTCTTCACTCTGTTAGTGGTTTCTTTTGTTGTGCAAAAGCTTTTTAATATGATGAAATCCCAGTTCTTGATTCTTTGTAATATTTCCCATGCATTCATGGTTTTGTTCATAAAGTCTTTGCCTACACCTATGTCTTTAAGAGTTCTACCTATATTATCTTTTAGCGGATTGTTTCTGTTTTAATATTTAGATCTTTCATTTCTATTTTAGTTTAGTGCATGGTAAGAGATATGGGTCTAAGTTTAATCTTCAGCATGTATAAAGTCAGTTTTCCCAGCACTACTTGTTAAAGAGGCTATCTTTCTTCCAATGAAGGTATTTGGCCCCTTTTTCAAAGATAAGGTGGTTGAGTGTCTTTAGAATTGTCTCTGCATCTTCTGTGATCCTTGGGTCAGTTTTTGGTTGTTTGTTTGGTTTGGTTAGCCAGTACCATGCAGTTTTTATCACAGTAGCTTTGCAGTATAATTTCATGTAAGGGATTATGATGCTCCCTGCCTTGCTTTTGTTGCCCAGAATTGCTTTTGCTATTCTAGATATCTTCTGATTTCAGAGGAATTTTAGGATTGTTCCCTCTACACTATTGGTATTTTGACTGGGATTCTATTAAATCTGTATAACAGTTTTAAAAGCATGGCCATTTTCACTATATTGATTCTGGCTATCCAAGAACAAAGGATATCTTTCCATTTTTAATATGCTCTTTGATCTCTTTTTTTTTTAGAGTATTGTAGTTATCAATGTAAAAGTCTTTTATTTTCTTTGTTAGATTGACTCAAAAGTATTTCATTTTTCTTGATGCTACTGTGAAAAGTACTGTTCCCTAATTTCTCCCTCAGTGAGTTTGTTATTTATGTGTGGGAAGGCTACTGATTTTGGAGTGTTGACTTTGTATCCTGCTATGCTACTGGATTTGGTTATTAAATCTAGGAGTCTTTTGGTGAAGTTTTTGGGGTCTTCTATGTAGAGTGTCATGTCATCAGCAAAGAATAATAATTTTACTTCTTTTCCTATCCTTATTCTTTTTATTTCTTTCTCTTGTCTAATTGCTCTGGCTAATGCTTCTGGCAGTATATTGAATAGGAGTGGTGATAATGGGCATTATTGTCTTGTTCCTGATCTTAGGGTGAAAGCTGTCAGTTTTTGACCATTTAGCATATTGTTGGCTGTTGGTTTGTCATAGATGGGTTTTATCAGATTGAGATTTTAAAAAAACCCTTCTAGTCCAATTTTCTGTAGGGTTTTTTATCATGAATGGGTTTTTTCCTTGATTAAATGATTTTTCTGCATCTATTGAGATGGTCATGTGGTTTTTGTCCTTGGTTCTGTTAATGTAGTATATTACATCTCTTGATTTGCATATGTTGAACCATCCCTGGGATAAATCCTACCTGGTCATCATGTATAATCTTGATGATTTGCTGTATTCTGTTTGCCAGTATCTTATTGAGGATTTTTGCATCTATCTATTAAGGAGATTGGCCTGTAATTCTCTTTTTTGGTTGGATGCTTCTCTGGTTTTGGTATTAGGATAATGCTTGCTTTCAGGAATGAATTTGGGAGTATTGCTTTCCTTTCAATTTCATTAAAGAGTTTGAGGAGTAGTGGCACTAGATCTTCTTTAAAGTTCTAGCAGAATTCAGCAGTGAATCTGTCAGGACCTGGGGTTTTCTTTGTTGGTAGTTTTTAAATTACTTTTTCAATTTCATTGGCTGATACTGAGTTATTTGGAATTTTTATATCATCTTGATCCAGCTTTGGTAAATCATATGTGTCTAGAAATCTGTCCATTTCTTCTGCATTTTCCATCTTATTAGAGTGCAGTTTCTCAAAATAGGTATTTCTTAATGACCTTCTAGATTTCTGCAGAAACCTTTGTGATCTCACCCTTTTTATTCCTAATTGCATGGATTTGAGTCTTTTCTTTCCTTTTTTTGATAGGTTGGTTGGCTAAGGGTTTCTCTATTTTATTTACTCTTTCAAAGAATCAACTCTTTGGTTCATTGATTCTTTGTATTGTTTTCTTAGACTCAATTGCATTATTTTTGCTCTGAGCTTTATAATTTCCTCCCTTGTACATGGTTTGGGTTTAACATGCTCTTCTTTTTCTAGAAGCTTGAGATTCAACATTAGGTTATTTATTTGAGCTCACTCTTTTTTTCCATTTTTAAAAAATAAAGTTTATTAGATCATAATGTTGTTTGAAGTTACCACCTTTGTCAAAAATCAGTGCAAAGCTTCCAATGTAGTCTATAATTCCGTAATCAGAGCCAGCAACTTATGGAGAGCTTCAGCATCAGTAGACAATATTTCACTAGCCAAGCAGACTTCTAGAAATAGTCATAGTGACTGATTCATCTTCTCAAATTCCCTTGCTTCTCTACGTCCCTTTTGAATAACTTCTTCTGGGAGATTAGCTAGCCTTGCTGCATTAAAACCATAGCTCTTAAGACAGTCTTCTTTAATGAGTTTATAAAGGAAAGTAATAGACTCCTGACTTGGGTCTTCACATTCATTTTCTACCATGCATGCCCTATGTCCTAGGTGCATAGCAACATTTTTAGAATCCTCTACTAATGAATGGTAGTGGGTAGAAAACAATGTACTATATCGTATGGTCTCAGCAAGTTCTTTAACAACTGCATCTGCTATTGCTGTCCCATCAAATGTTGCAGTACCTCTTCCTAATTCATCCACAAGCACCAGAGAATGTGCTGGTGCATGCCTAAGTATGCGGACATTTCTGCTCAATTCAACAAAAAAAATGTTCTTTCACCAGACATTATTCTATCTCAGGCACCAAGTCTAGGAAACACTCTATCAACTGGTGTGAGCCTACATGCTTCAGCAGGTATGTAACGACCCATCTGGTCCATTACAGCTAATAGTCCAGCCTATCTTATGAGTGTAGACTTGCCCCTCATATTTGGTCCAGTAACAAGTACACAATAGGCTTTGCTATTTTCCTCTTGTTGCTCCTCATAGCCTATTAGAATAATATCATCATCATTAGGAATAATATCATCTCCAAAAAAGTCTTCATAATGCAGGGATGTTGTGATCCTTTAAGCTCTTCTCCTGGTAACAGAATTACTGGCCAACACATAGGACCATCACCCCCTTGACTAGAGTTAGCAAGGCACAATAAGAAATCCAACACTGAGATGCAATTGACAGCACACTGCCAGACCTTGTAATTTTTATCAAAGTTGTAGAACAGTCGTCACATGCACTCTTTCAAAGATACATTTCTACATTCCTCAGTGTTGATCAGATTGGCCAACTTCTTCTCAATAGTTTTGGTCTAATATCATTTCCAGCCCTTTTTGGTAGATTTCAATTCATATTCTTCTGTCAAATTACGGGTAGTAAAACTCCCTGGAATTTCTAGCTGGTAATGGTTTCTACCAATCCCCCAGTATACTATAGTCCTACAGACAATTTGACCACGCTGTTTGTCTAAATATTCTAGGAGGCTCTGTTCATTTTCTCTTATGTCAGCAAGACCCTGGTCATAATCTGAGTCAAATCCTGCTTTGGCAGTAATTAGTCCCATCCTTCAAGCCTTGTCATGGTCAAAGGCTGTATCCCATCAGTTCAGTTCTGCAGTCAAATCAGGAAAGTGTTTTTCAAGATTTTTGGTCTGAAGAGTAACGACTTGCTTAAGGATTTTAGACTTAAACTCATCAACAACTTCTTCCTTAATCTCTATAATTCTACACATTATTTTGAATCCTTCTAGAGCAGAAAGAAAATCAATAATCTTTTTTTGCTGTATGTAGTTTCCTCATATATGATAGCCCTACTATCAGAGTGGTTCTTTCTTTTTAGGGGACATCCAACATTATGAATTTTACTCAGTAGCCTCTCAAGATCTGGAAGCTTTTTTAGAAGGTCTGCAACTTCAGAGATTTTGTCAGGCACA